ACAGGCGTAAGATTCTCCACGGCCCTGTATGTAGAGTTTTAGGAAAATCTCAAGATAGAGGAAAATGAAAACTGATTGGGCGGAACGACCGACAAATTAGCAACCTAAAAAATGGACAGCAAAGTTGGCAGCAGACGTCCTGCGCGTAATCATGGGGGATAGGCCCTGTACAAAATTAGGAGTTCTTCAATTCAATCACCCTAAACTTTGAAGATCCTAAAATTGATTATTCATATTAGAGGTAACTAAAGCCAAACAATTAAACGCAAGTTACGAAGTTTAGACAACGTTCAAATAATTTTTACCTCAGGAAAACTACAAAGGCGTTTAGCATCGCTAAAATCAGAACTTTTTACAGACTTCAATTCAAGGGTGGTTTATAAAGTGTCTTGTCGTGAAAATAACTTCAACTATTTTGGTCAACCGTTCGGCATTTTACAACGAAAATTGAGGAGCATAATAAAGCAGACTCAGCGGTAGGCCTCCCTTTTCAGCAATGCATACTCATGAGGAAATAGCGCACAAATTGATTGAGAAGCTATAGAGAGGTCGAACAACGAAATATAAGTGTAAACACTACATACGATACATAACAGGAAAAAGAAGCTAAAGATATTTTTTTGCTAAAAAGTAAATTTCAAACGTTTTCGCAACTATGTGCATCGTCAGAATTTTTATAATAAACTAATCTAAATGACGATAAAACATCAATTTACAAATGTTATTTATATTAAATCACATAAAATTTGGTTTTTAACCATCATAATAGAAAATTAGCCAATCAAAGTTGACCTCTTAAATACTATTAAGATTAAAAAATTTTTAACCTCTAAATTTAATTAAACCTTTTTAAATCAATTTGTCTGGAAGTTGTCTGGGAGTCATAATTTCGATTTAGACATGTACGTTTTAAATAAAAAACCAAAAATATTTTGGGACTGAATTTTCAGTGTTAACTCCCTGCTCCTAAACTCATCGCGCGTGTTCAAGAACGGTTTCTCTTTCTGATATGTGTTGCCTCTAGTGTTAGCAATTTTGTTTGGTTGTTTGACTCATCTATAATTTCCCAGCTAAGATCTGCGCTATTTCCCTCAAGTTGGCATTGCTGAAGGTGGAGGCCTACCGGTGAGTCTGCTTTCTTATGTTCCTCAATTCTAGTGGTCAAATGTCGAACAGTTTGTCCGACAAAGGTGGAAGTGCATCCACTACATGACACTTTATAAACCACTTTTGACTTGAGGCCATTAGAAAATGCTGACTTCAGTGATGGTAAACATGATTCTAGTTTTTTTGTGGTGAAAACCACTTGAACGTTAGTTAATTTTCGTAACCTGTCAGCAAAATATTGGCTCTGGTTACCTCTATATTGCACCATCAGCATTGGCTGGTGAGAGGAAAATTTCTTCAATGTGAAGAAATTGAAAAAAATTTTCAAGTAAATTGAAGAAATTTTTAGCAAAATTTTCTTCAATTTTACTTGTATATTCGTGATAAAACCAAAAACCGAAGAGCTTAAAATTCTAACTGTTTTCCCATTAAAGGGCCAGTAAAAAAACTTTTAATGATTTTCATCAACGTATAGGGAATTTTTATAGTGTTTTTTTTATCGATACATAAAATATGGCCAATTTTTATTTGAATTACCGAAATGTTTCAAATTGTAGCAGCTAGCTCCCTGTTCCACAGCATCAACACCCTTAACACATGTGAGAAAAAGCAATACGAGAGCCTTGTTACAGCAATTCCTGGCCTATCCCTTAATAACAACTTGCTGAACCAAAGAAAGAACCTCCGACGATTACTGGAAGACAGTCCAATGAAGGAGAAAAAAGTGGTTGTGTGGCACGACGTGGTGAACAACGCCATTAACAGCCACAGAACAAACAGTTATCGCCCAGCCGGTGCCGAGGAGCTGACATACTATTTGAAGTCGAAGAAGCAGCAGATATTGGCGATCGTTTACTGCAGAAGGGAAGGAACGCCCGACTTGTTTAGTCAACTTCGTGGCACAGGAGTGCTCATTGTTTTAGCTTCAAAACGGCTACTCTCCAAGAGCAAGCAAAGCGACCCGGAGCAGCTCATGGAATATTTAAAGCTGCGCCAGAGTGCTGAATTGGAGCTGAAATCTCTGCGATTGGTAGTGGCACACAAAGAAAGGCTGTCAGAGCTGATTGGCAATATCAGGGGCAAACAACAGAGACCAACACAAACAAGGAGGAAGGCGAAAGCAAGACGTGAGCAGAAGCTGAAGGCAGAGGAAGTGTCTGCACTTCAAAGACAGGGGTGAGAAGTGTGTGATTTGTTTTGTTTTGTGCCTTGTGAGTTTCATTACTCGTAGCCTGCAAAACAATGACCACAGTACTTTTGCCTGCTGTTTAGCTCAGACAAACTTTAAAAAGAAAATTTACTTGGAAAACTGTGTTAGACTATTTAAAATTCTTTTAAAAAGTTCAAGTATCTGTACATAGATTGAAGTTTTCTTTAAAAAAGTCTGAAAAACAATCTAATACCGGACTTTTTGAAGTTAAGGGTCCCCGAGAACGGGTTTTGTTGGACCAAGCTGTGCATAATTTTTAATTGAAACTACTAAGGACTGAAACTTCTAGGGCAAATGAGGATAGGAAAAGGTACGAGGAGATGCTAATGAAAGCAAGATCACTGGTGCAAAAAGAAATTGACGAACAGGGGTGGGCATCCATTTTCCGCTTCGTGAGGCGTCAAGTTGAGGCAAGCTTAAAGACAACATCAGAAAACTAAAGAAAAAAAAACTGTCCGAGAGACAAGATAAACCTCTTGGGGGGAGAAATGAGCGATCAGTTAAGGTACTTGATAACATTGAACTGCCTGAATGGGTATATGAAGTGCTATCAATGGGCCCGAAGCATCCCATTAGAGAAAAATTTAACGAAACACATTTTTTGGCGGATATCGACATTTTCATCTCACAATTGAAAAATCAAAAACCATCTGGTGAAACGTTATGTGAAAGAGAAGCCGCGGCAAAGGCATACGCAAAAAACGTAAGGCAAACCCCAAGAGACAAAGCCGTTGAAAAAACGAGGAAATATCTCAAAGATAATGGGTCGCTGGTTGTGCCGTTTGATAAGGGGGTTGGTTTTTGCATAGGGAGGAAACAAACGTATGAATCAAAGCTGGAATCCTTGTTGCAATCTGATTAGTTTGTGAAAAAAGATGCAACCACTGATGAGGTGATACTGAAAACTGAGAAGGAACTTAACAAAGCATTACTAGCCATGGACAAAAGACACGAGATAAGTGATCAGATATATTCGAAGATGAGGTCAACAGGGGGGCAACCCACCCGTTTGTACGGTTTAGCTAAGGTACACAAGGATGAGATACCCCGTACGACCAGTACTATCACTTCCAGGCAGCTCGTATAAGAATCTTAACAAAATGCTTGCAAAGCTTTTTGACAACATCGATGGAGCAAATCTAGAAATCAATACTAAAGAGGCTAGAGAAACAATTGAAAACATTGCTCTAGATCCGGATGAAATCATAAAATCTTTTAATGTGAAAAGTTTGTACACCAATGTTCCCCTGAAGGAGGCAATTGAAATTGCTTTACAGAAGCTGTACAACCAGGAGTCTCCTCCTTAAATTCAAAGAGCAACCATGAAAAGGCGTTTGAATATGGTGGTCAGCAAAGTATATTTCATGTGTAATGATTCATGGTATGTACAAGTTGATGGTTTAGCGATGGGCGCATCCCTCGCTGTAATTTTGGCAAACTTATGGCTGAAAGAGTACGAATTTGCTCTAAGACAAGAAATACCGGTGGGAACGGAGGTACAGCAAATTGATGACAAAAACGGCTTGTGCCCATGTTGCAGCAGGAAAGTCACATATAGATCAAGGGGGTTGAATGCGAGAGTTGCCGAAACTGGTATCATCTAAAATGCGGAAAAAAATCCGATGACGAATGCGCATCAATAACCGAGATAGTCTGGTACTGTGAAAGCTGCTGCCGAGCTAAGAGCAAGGAGAAGGATACTCCCCAGGTGAAATTGTTCCTCAGGTATGTGGATGACATTGTTGGAACAGTCAGAGGGGAGCCGAGTTGTCTTCTCGATACCGCCAATTCTCTTCATCCAAATTTGCAGTTCACTCTAGAGAAAACTAATTTGGAGGGGAATTTGCCGTTCCTGGATTTGAACATAAATGTATCGCAGGGTAGGCGTGTAACTTGCAGTTGGTATCAAAAACCAACAGATACAGGGACTATACTGAACTATAGAAGCTGCGCCCCCAACTCAGTATAAGCGTAGTGTTCAACCCAAGTACTGATTTTGAAAGCATAACGCCAAATAAATTCAATATTTGTAGTCAATGAGTTGGGAAAACATGGAAACAAAACACACAGAATATTGCCATGTTAGATCAGTATTTTGGATTGCTTCAATCCCAAATACTGATTTTGGAAGTATAACGACAAAAAAATTTAATGTTTTCAGTCGTTAGGTTGAGAGTGTTTGGAGACACAACGCACAGCATATCGCCGAATTAGGTCAAAGTTTGGGATTGCATAAATTTCAAATTTTGGTCAGTATTTGAGATTCGATCAATCAAAAATACTGATGATCTAATAGATTCAGACTCTAGTGAACTGAGATCGAAGTTCAGATCGGAGGTGACAGGATTTGAGATGGAAGTTGGGTTGAAAGGAATTGAGACCAAACGTTTGGTATTTCAACTGGTAGTTGATCAATATAGTAATTGAGATTGATTTTTCTGGTGATCACCTAGTAAATAAAAGATATAATTTTAAACGCTATACTAAACATATGCATATATTTAAACGGAATCCGCAAACAAAATGCGGATTGCACTTACAATTTGCGGATTCCACTTACAATTTGCGGAACCCGCAACAGCTCATATTAACTATACAAATATCTTTTTGTTTGTTTTTGGATTCCGCAAACTGTTCTGGATTCCGCAAGGTTTTGCTCTCATATCTTTTTATTCCGACCACGCTTATTAAATGACTGCAAGGAACTCTGGATTTATCGTATTATTTGCAGCCCACCTCAGGTTCCTCAATGACGGACTACAGACGTTTAATTGTGGTTTTCTCGTGGTCACAATTCTGATTCGCAGTGGTACGTTGTCCTAGTGTCAAAAATTGGCCGGAAAAGTTTTTTTCAACAAAACCATAAGGAAATTAAAAATGTCAAAATTACAGTTATCAAAGCTTAAACTCTCAATTTACTTTTTTGTTAACTTACATACTTTTGAAACTCGTATAATGTCTTTTTAAACTAATTCCACCGCACTTTTGTGGTAAACGAACAGCAGAAATAATAGTAGAAACGGAAAAATTTATTTTTTATTTTCAATTTCAATCTGTGCTACTTATTTGAGTTTTCCCAATGATCTGCGTTCATATATTTGTCTCTTTTTTAAAAATATGAAATTGGCTCGGAGATTTCTACGCTTTCTGTGCTTCTTACGCAAAATTGTGCTCTTTAGACTAGAAACATTTTAAAATTTTACAAATTGTGTTTTATAAGATTTGTGATTTTTCTAATTTAAGTTCAAAAAACCGCTAAAATTGATGAAAATGCATTTGAAACCAAATTTGTGAGAAAACAATCAGTACGACAAAAATTGTTTAATGAGAGCTGTGAGTGCTGGAGTACCGACCTGAATAAGAAGATAAATAAAATGTATAAGGTACCAAAAATATTTTGAAAAAAGCGAAAGCAAAAGTAAACCAATGAAATCAACTCTAGAGTGCTGAAACGGGGAGTCCAGATATCATGATAAAACTTTACCGACTCAAAGAAACAAATGAATAAATTACAATAACGGCGCCATAAAAACTCAAAGCTAAGTTTAAGTACAAAAACTAAAATTTACCGACTCAAAGAAACAAATAAATAAATTACAATAACGGCGCCATAAAAACTCAAAGCTAAGTTTAAGTACAAAAACTAAAATTTACCGACTCAAAGAAACAAATAAATAAATTACAATAACGGCGCCATAAAAACTCTAAGCTAAGTTTAAGTAAAAATTTAGCCCGAACAAACTTTGCACATATTGCAAACCCAGAATCCTCGTTATTGTAATCTTCTACAATGATTTAGACAAATTTCTTCAGGCGTTACATAGTTTTACAAAGGTGCAGACAATATTTGTTCCGAGTTTTGAGGAAAAAGACAGAATGTGCATGCTTGGGGTGATTTTTTTTTATTGCGAACAATTTAGACATTTTAATTAACTTTTGTTTGACGCCATCAAATTTTTTTAATTTCGTGAGCGAGCCCAAACGTAAAAACATATTTTACTTGTGATCAATTTTATGATTTTACAGGAATTTACATTGCTCAATTAGAGTTGATTAAGGCAATTAAAATTACACTTTTTCATAAGCGCGTTTAAAATGCAGCAAAATAATCCAGCTAAAATTTTTCCTAATTGAGTCCACACTTGTTAACTATTCTGAATAATGCTTTTGTGGAAGCGAAATATGCCACTTCATGTGTTTCCTTTGGTGTTGCAACGTAAATATAAAACAAGAGTATAAATGCATATAAAATAAGCACAGTTGGCCGAGTGGCCTAAGCTAACGTACCGACAATTGACGTAGGTTGGAGTCCCCAACCTGCCCATGTATTAATATACTAAAATAGGGGGTTGTATCCTATTTTAACTGTTTTTTGATTCTAATTCCGATTTTAATTAAGGCTGACCGCTAAAAAGGAGCAATTTTTCTCAGGGCATTACCGACCGGTTCTTGTGGCTAGCTTGCGCCAATTTGTTTTTGAAGCTGAATATTGGTGATGAATATTATTGAAGTTATGATGTTAAACTCGACCGAAATGACGATAAGTTTTTGCCGATTTTAACATGTTTTTAGCATATTTTTGATTTACAGAGACTAGGCGCAATTTTTGGCGCCCCACAAGGGGCGCCAAAATGTGCGCCTAATCTCCGTAAATCAAAAAAATGAAGTGGAATGTTTGAATTAGACGAGAGAATTTATCGGCAAAAACTTATCGTCATTTCGCTCGAGAGAGTTTATCGGCAAAAACTTATCGTCATTTCGGTCGAGTTTAACATCATAACTTCAATAATATTCATCAACAAAATTCAGCTTCAATAACAAATTTCCACTTCATATGTTTCCTTTGGTGCAGAATATCAAAATTTATATCGTGTTTTTTACTTTACACGAATCAAACTATTTAAATCTAGTTTTCATCAGACTGAACGAGACAAAGTAAACCAAGTTAATTGATTGAAAATCTAAACAGCAAGAATAGTTTCAAATGGTTGCATACTTTGAAACATATTATGAAGTCAAATCCTTGCCCATTGAAGAATAAGCGTTTGAGTGCTAAACCAGGAAAAACGATTTTGTTTTTTGATTTTTTTGGTTTGCTGAGTTTGATTTTCTTCTTTTTGCACGACATCCCTGCTAAGTTAGGAGCAATGATCAACGATTTTAATCGACCTTTAATTTATCAGGATACCCGCGTTGAAATCAGATTGAAAATTAGCGACAACAAAAACAGAGATAGCCATCAATGAATTATCGATGTTCATTGTCACCATAGTAATTTTTATCGATAGATTATCGCTAACTTGGCTAACTTTCAGCGATAAAACAGCTATTAAATTTTTATCAAAATGAGTAAAAAGAGTGAGCTCTTGTGGATCGATCTCACAACTTTCAGATTTATAGACCTGTATGCTACTTCTGTGCTGATTTTCTACGGAATATTTATTGAAATAGCTCTGAAATATTGCAGGTTTAGCTATGTGAAAACTCTGATTTATACATGAATTAGTGGTGGAAAATGGCGATCGTTGTGATACCATTTAAAAAACGATATTTAACGGTGGGACTCCAACCCGGGCATACAAGTCAAAGTTTTTGCATACTTTTAACTACTTGTCCCGCTGCTGTGGCTGTAGCTGAACCTTTGCTTGCTAGCGCTCCCGTGAATTTAGAGAGCTGATTTGCAATGGGTCAGTCCAAGGTTGCAGCGTCCTCAGTACTGTTTTCAAGCACTATGTCGACTGCAACCGTTTAGAAACTGATTGTATGTTGATGCAAGCTGGCAAAATTGATCACGAATCGAGGTTGCTGCCCAATCTTTTTCCTCACTTTATGCTTCGACTTTTAAAACTGAGCCTTCGTCAGTGCTCGGCCGAAATAAATAGTCGAAACAGGTGTTTGGTTCAAGCACAATTTCTAATTATACCTCCAGCAGGGCCGAGCACGGTCGAAATATATCTAGAACACGATCGTAATTTTACTCCAGCACGGTTGAGCACGAGCCAAACATACCTCCAACAGGGTTGAAAAATACCTCCAGTATCGTTGAAAAATACTGATTGTCCTGCGGTAATTTGGAGTCAAAGAGAAAATTTTCTTCCAAACATCAACATTTTCTGTAACATTATTGTGGCACAGTAAAAATTGTTTTCAGTTTATCTGTTTATTTCGGCCATACAGTGCAATATTTGGCCACGAGCTGTGCAGAGTGTATTCCCTAGAAAGATTTAGAAAAATAGCTAGAAGGTGGTGAGCAGGTTAGTAGAAGTGTTGAAATTAAATCAGTCAGGTATTTTGTATCGAGAAGGCAAAATTGATTAGCTACTCATACTGTCAGAAGAGAAGGCAAAATCTATGAGCTGCTCATACTAGAGCTTTTGCCAGTTTGAAAAAAAATTCAATAACAAGTATAGTCTGCAAAGTAAATGATTACTGGAACCAATAATTTTCGCTCAATTGACTCACAGATTTGAATGTAAAAAAATTTCAGAATGTAATGTTAGCTCGTAAAGTTCAACGATGACAATTTGCTGTCCACCAAGAATGAAAACTTGACCAACGTTTCGAGTCAGCTGGAATTTTTTATTTTACCGAAACGATTTGAAACTTTTTTTATTGAAACTGAATGCTAAAAATTAAAGTTAAATGTTTTAGTTTTTCAGGCAGAAAAAAACGGACAACAAAAAATTAGAAACACATCGAAGTTCAAAAAAAAAAGTGAAGTCAAAAATATTTTCAGTCAATATATTCATAGCAAGCAGACGAAATTTCTTGCAATCCAACATAAACCCATGTCAAATTTTTGAAAGGAATGCTTAAAAAGCAGTTGTTCTAATTCATTTAAATTTTCCGGTATTACCATTATGTGCATCGACAAGATTTTCACAAAAAAAATCTCTATGACGATTAGTTTTTGACAAACGTTAACATCAATTTACAGTTATTGATTTAAAAAATTTACACAAATTTTGGTATGAAACTACATTGTTAAAAAAACCAACCACCGTTGACTTCTAAGTTTTATGAAGTAGAATAAAATAACGTTCAACAATTTGAATTAATTAAACAATTCTTAGTCGAGTTGTTTGGAGGTTTCTGAGTCACAAACTCAATTTAGACATATAGGTTTTTGAATAAAAAGAAACCAAATAAAATTCAGGATGCAATTTTTACTAATAAAACTTAGGAAACAATAGACACATAAGTTTTGATTTTTTTTGTCCGGCATCGAAAAATTGACTTGAATACTTCCAGGCAATTCATTTAAAACTCTTTCAATTGATTTGGGAGTTTCAATGAGTTATAATCTAATTGATTAATTTAGGAAGTCAATTGTTGTTAGCTAAGGCTTTATCCTGAAGAAAAAGAAGCCCAATTTTTGTTAAATTTGGTAAGTATTTTTTGTATTGATGTTTAAATTTAATTTAGAATACTATGTTGTAAGCATCTTGACTATGCATAAATCATAGTTCAGTTCGTTTTTTTTTTGTAAAATTTCAAAAAAAATAAAAAGCGATGAGCCACATGTTTTCTTGGTAATGAGCCAGTTTTTCAAACATTAGCGTTTCTTAATATATAAAATAATCATTAGAAAAATATTATTCAATCGATACGTAGAAAAAGACCAGTTGATTTTTGAGTGACAAAATTTTTGATATTGTAGCAGCTACTTGCTGTTTCACAGCACTGACACGCT